TATACAATATCCGAAGCAAAAAGTGTCAGGAATTCTAATCGGCCCTCTCACGCTCGTCGCAAAACCGAAAAGAACCCAAAACAGCCCCCTCCCAGGTAAAAGTCCACTCGGGACAATGGGGGAAGCAGATGTACCCGGAAGCAGATGTAGGGAGTGTTTTCTGGGGGGGGGGCACAGAAGCTGTCATTTGAACCATGGAAAGCCCACATGCAGGACATATATACCCGAGTCTGGGAGGCAATCATTTTCACGTCGCCCCGACCCTCCGACCCCTCGGCACCGCATTCATTCCATGGCTGGGGCGGTGACCTTTTCCCAGGAGCCCCCACGCGACGCCCCCGGCCCCCTGAAGCCAGCGCGACGCCCCAGCCCACCCCGCCAGCCGACGCCCCACACCGCTGCGCCTGTTCGGGTCCCCCTCCCCGGCCCCTGCAGCCCTCGAATCGCGCTGCGCCCCCGGCCTCTCAGGGCGCACCTTGCCCGCGGGCCTCACCTCAGGGGCGAGTCGTGGGCAGCGCGTTGGGCTCCGCGGTCCGAATGCGGCCTCAGCGCCAGTACTCTTAGTCTGCTGGGCTCGGCCCGGCCGGCTCCGCCTACTGCCCGCCGCGCGCACCCAGGCCTGGAGCCTCAGCGCCGCTGGCCTCTCCGCCCCCTCAGCCCTCGCCCCCACCGCCCGTCCTGGGTGCGGCCTGCGGCGCCGCAGCCCAACACCGCGCCATCCCATTGGTCCAGAGTCTCGCGCACTGCGTCAGCAACGCACCGTACTATTGGCTGCCACCGGTGGCGCGGGCGGGGCGGTGGCGAGGGGCTGGAGGCGGGGTTTCAAATAGGTGGGGTGGGGCGGGACCGGGCGTGTCTCCCCGCCTTCCGCCTTTGGCCGCTGGGTTCTCTGGAGTCTACGTGGTGCAACCCCGCTCGCGCCCTAGTGGTCGATTGTGCTACGGCGGCCTTGCGACGCTGACTGTAACCCTACTGACTCCGTCGTTTAAACAAGCTGAGAGTCGGCTGTGCAAGCCCCGCCTCCCCAATGCTCCTCATTCACTCATTTTCAGTGTCAGACACTAAGGTCCTGCAGTTAGCCAGGTTCACAGGGTTAAACCGGCCCCATTCTGGGCCACCGGCCACTATCGTCGGCCAGGGGCTCATCCCTCTTCCAGAAGACAGCCCCAGCCCTGTGTGCGGGTGCTGGTTTCCGAGAAGCTCCTAGAAGGGCGGTCCGCAGAAAGGCAGGGTAGGGTGGGGTCGGGGCTGGGGGACCTGATACGGTTCCACAGATACCGCCTGCAGATGCTGGGTCACCTCTGCAGTCAGGGAATGAATTTGGATCGGGCATTGGCAGGACAAGGCCACCTGCCAATGTACTGGAGGCTAGTTTAAGAGACCAGACCAGCATCTTCCCCCATTGTCTCGTCTGATCCCCAAAAGGACCAAGGCAGGCAGATCCACAGAAGCCCCTGTACCCACAGGAAGCCAAGATCCGGTGAAGCGCAATGGCAAATCAGTGGGGGACCCAGGCCTCCCCTCCCATCAGACCCTTTGGCTTGGCCCACAGCAGTGTCAGGAATATTGTCTATGGATAAGGGTTGGTGACCTCTGTTATTGGGACACTTCTCCCAGACACTGGGTTTTCTCGATGACTCCATGTTCTGACTCCCACTTAGCCCAAGACCTGGCCGGCAACAGGTGAAGTGAGGACTTGCTGAAAGATGAGGAAAAAGGGACAAAGAGAGGAAGAAGGCTTGAAAATGTTAAGTAGAGACTCAGAAGATAGAAAAAAAGCCCAAATTGAACGTGTAGAGGTAAGAAAAAAAACCGAGGTCTGAGATGACAAATACACCAAATGGGATTCGTGGATTAGACACAGTCAACAAAAATATCTGTGAATTTGTAGACACAACAAAAGAAAACTAAATGGAACACCGAGAAAAGATAGCAAACAAATTACCACAAGGTGCTGTGGGCCAATTTCTTCTTGTTAAGTACCATCGAGTCTGTTCCGACCCATAATGACCCTCTATAGGGTTTCTGAGGAGCAGAACCTGCCAACCTTGCAGTTCAAACCAACTTTGCAGTCCAGTGCATTAACCTACAGGGCCACACCAAGACTCCTGTCTGGGCCAGCTTGAAGGGGCCTAGGAGTCCTGGTGTAGCGCTGTAGGCTAATGCACTGGACTGCAAAGTCGTTTGAACCACAAGGTCGGTGGTTCAAGGTCACCAGCCGCTCCTTGGAAACCCTATACAGGGTCACTATGGGTCAGAAATGACTAAACAGCACTTCACAACAATATACATATAGGAGTCCCATGTGGAGCTATGGGTTAATGCAAGGGACTGCAAAGTCGATTTGATCCACAAGGTTCGCTGTTCAAGCTCACCAGTCGCTCCTCAGAAACCCTATACAGAGTCACTATGGGTCAGAGCCAAAACAACAATATACATATGTGGACTCCTGGTATGGTGCTCTTGGATAAGCACTCAGCCATAAGGCCGGTTCGAACAGTAAGGTTGGTGCTTCAAACTCACCAGCGACTCCTCAGAAACCCTATAGAGGGTCACTATGAACTGGAACTGACTCAACCACACTTAACATTTCTATAGGAGCCCTAGTGGCACAGGGTAATTGTTGGGCTACTAACCAAAAGGTCGGCAGTTTGAACCCACCAGCTGCCTCTCAGGAGCAAGATGAGACCGGTTCTGTAAAGCTTGACACCCCCAGAAACCTTTGGGAGCAGTGTTTCCTGTTTCATAGGGGTCACTATCAGAATGACTTGAAAGCAGGGGGAAGATACATATGAATACTTTGGAGAGAGGAATCAGTCCTCAGGAGGGACGGGTCCCTGGGGAAGGACATCATGCTTGATCAAGTGGAGGGTCAATGAAAAAGAGGAAGACCCCGCCAACAAGACAGCTACCGTGGCATCAGCAGTAGGTTCAAGCACAGCAGGGGCTGTGAGGATGGTGTGTGCAGGGAATCCATTCATTGGCACCAAACCACAACAACAATACACATACCATCTGAGTCCCTGAAAGTAACCGTGTGATGGTTGAGAACAGGACTATTTAAAGATATAATGGCTGATGAACTTTGGTGAAAAGTACAAGCCTACAGACCCAAGAAACTTCCGGCATGCTACGGGACTCTGGCGAAAACAGGACATCAGGTGAGCAGAAGGCCAATGCTGCTCACCCTGAACTGTCAGGCCCACTTGGCAGACGGTGATCTATTGTGATGTAGGAAAAAAACGTCAGCAGATCCGGAAGTCCATGATCCCATTTCTTCCACACTGTCTCACTGATGTTCTCACTCTGCTCACGGCTGTGGCTTCACAACCCATGCCGCCGAGTGGATTCGGTTCATTCACAGCGACCGAGTAGAACACAGTACAACTGCCCCCTGGGGTTTCTAAGACTGTAAATTCTTTACAGGAGCAGACAGCCTTGTTTATCTCCCTCAGAGCAGCTGGTGGATTTGAACCACTGATCCTGTGGTTGGAAGCTCTATGCTTAACCCACTGTGCCACCAGGACCACTCTGTGGTCTCAGGGAAATTCCCTATGACCCAGTGATGAGGAAGAAAACAGCTGAGCTTGGTACCCAAGAAGTTTGGCTTCATAGGTTGATGTGAGCTCATCGTCATCAGATACTGCTTCAGACCTCTACCTCAGCCGTCACCCCCAGGCAAGTTCAGGGCAGAAAGTACTGAATTCCTAGCCCCACAAAGACAGCATGGATGGTCAGAGTCTCCCAAGACCCCAAACCCTACAGCACCCACACCGAACTCTCCCTGGAGTGGTTGAAAAGAAGCACCTGCAGAAAACGACCTCCTTGCCATCTCCGGGGCCCCAGCTTCCCACATCCACTAACCCTCCTCATGTCCCCCCCTCTCCTCCACACACCTAGGAGGACCACCCAGCCCCTCACTACACTGGGAGGGGCCAAAGCAAGAGCCCTCTCCCAGGGAGGGTCAGTCACCCAGTGTCCTTGGCTTGGGTTTTACTCAACAAGTTTCTTTCCCAGCATAAAGTGGGGCAAGCAGAAGATCTGGCCCTGATCTTGGCCAAGGATGACCCTGGAGTCCCCTCCAACCCTGACCCCAGCTGAATGTGACCCTGGGGTCGCCTCTGACCTTAACTCCAGCTGAGTCTATTTCTATGACAAATCTAGTCTGGATAATCATGCTGGGAGAATGACCTGCTGGAATTCCATGGTAGAAAGTGAGGGGCAGTCAGAACTGAGGCACCTGGGTAGTAACTTCATCCTCACCCTTGACCTAGCCAGGCCCACTCCTCAGCCCAGGACACCGTCACTTCCTTCAGGAAGCCTCCATGCTGTGGCCCGCGGCCAGGTTCCAAGCTCCCAGCCCTGTACACTGCTGCCCTGGACGCCATATGCTCTCCGTCCCCCCGCCCCGTCCCCCGGACTGGGCTGCGAGCTCCCAGCCAGGACAGGGCATTGTTCATGCGCACACCCTGTTCCAGCTCCAGACTCCCAGGGGATGCTCTAATGCTCTGCTTGTTAGCTCCTCCCACCTGGGGTCTGACCCTGGGCACGTCACCTGAACACCCTGTGCCCCTAGGCCTGAGGGTCTTGTGAGCTGCACATGATGAGAGGACAGCCAGACCCCCCTCCCTCCATATCAAGCCCTGACCACTGAGGCAAAAAGGTTCTTTGTGCTTTATTGATGGCAGCGGCCCCTCCCGGGGCCCACACCTTAGCGTTACTGTGGGTGCTGGGACCAGCCCTGCCCCCATTGACTGCCCCAGCCTGCCCACCTCCCAGCCCTGTGGGTGGGTGTCCTTTCCCAGAAGCCTAGGTGAAGCTCAGTCCTGAGAGGTGGGGCAGGGCGGAGCAGGGCCGGAGAATCCCTCAGCCCTGGCAACCCAGCCTGCTGGGTGAGGCCAAGCCCGGCCTCTGGGTGGGCCTGAGTCAGAAAGAGGCTCTGATGTGGCTCCTCCTCCCACGCAGTCCACCGCCGTCCATGTGGCCACTCTGGACAGGCATCACCTGGGCCTGGTGTAACCATACGGATGCCGCAGCAGTAGGCTCTGGTGGCTGGGCAGCACGTGGGCATGGTAGTGCTCCACCAGACTGCCCACACTCACAAACAGGATCTCGCCTTCCAGATAGAACTTAGAGTCCTGCGGGGTGGAGGGGAGGGAGACAGGAATCAGGACAGCCTTGGCTCCCCCAACCCCCGCCATACCCAGCCTGCTCCTGACCCCCAGAGTGACCGTCACCTCAAGTTCCTTGCTGGCCCTCACCCCACCTCCCACCCAGGGGACCCCGATGAAGTCTGTAAATACACCCAGGGTCTTGGGAAGGTATGCCAGGCACAAAACTCGGCCAGGAGAGGAGGGAGGTTGAGGCAGAGCGAGGGAGGTGGAGAAGAGTTGAGGGTAGTGTCCTGGAGGTATGTACCTCAGCCCACCCACTGCCTCCTACTATCAGAGAGACCACCCTGCCCGCAGCACCAGCCCCCGATGGCTGAGCCCTAGGATCAGGAACCCACTCACCTTCTCAAAGATGCGGTAGTTCCTCACTTTGTTGGAGCTTTCATCCCACACAACCAGCACCTGAGAGTGGGGGACAAGAAAGGCTCAGTTCAGAGGTATGGGGTTACCAGGCACATGGACAGACAGGCAGCCCTTCACCCCAAATGGCCTCAGATGAGACTGGCATAGCAGGTCCACAGCATACCCACCCCCCATGCACATGGGGAAACTAAGGCTCAGTGAGGTCAGGAATAAATGTCCTTTGTAGGTCAGAGACAGAGCAGGGTGCAGACTTCCGGCTGTTACCACTGCCCTCATGGCCTCCTCGGAGATTCAGACCCCCCCACCACCACCACCACCAGTATCTTCCGACTCCTAGAATCTCTCGCCCGCTCACTCCCTTCTGGGGGGTGGTCAAGGTTGCCTTCAATTTGCAGATACTGTTTCATTCCTGAGAAGAGATTGTGGGGTGGGGCCTGTGGTGTCAATACCCTGGGAACAGCTGGATAAGATGGCAAAAGAGGCTAATGGGAACTGATTTAGAAACTGAAGTCCAAGGCTGGCCAGCCATAGCAGTCCCCGGGACCTCTGCTCAATAGGGGGACCAGGGCGTCCTCCCAGGATACCTACCTTCCCTGACTTGGTAGAGGAGTTCCGGATGCAGTAGAGACCATCCTGTGGCTCCCCCCGGGGGCTTGTGGCTTTCAAAAGCCTACAAGAGAGCCATGTTGAAGGGACCCACCACCCTAAGACAGCCTCCTTGGACAAGCCCAAACTCATTCCGTAACACAAACTTCCCTCTTCTCAACTACCTTCTTAGTCATTCTTAGATGAGCAATTTAAGGAGCTCTGGTAGCATAGTGGTTGCTAATCTCAAGGTCAGAGGTTCAAAACTATCAGTCATTCCAAGGGAGGAAGATGAGGTTTTCGGCTCTGGTAAAGATTTATAGCCTCAGAAACCCTATGCGAGGTCACTATGAGTCGGAACCGACTTCACAGCAAGCTCATAACCACCACCACTACCACCAGGTGGGCAATTCAGTTGTTGGATGCCGTCAAGTCAGTTTTGACTCTCAGTAACTCCATGTGACATAGAAGAACTACCTACCCCACAGGGCTTTCCAAGCTGTCATCTCTATGGATCAGATCACCAAGTCCTATTCTCACAGAGTTGATGAGTGGCTTCGAACCCAGCAATCTTTCAGTTAGCCATGGTGCCGCCAGTACAATTCTGGGGCATTAATGACACTCATCACTTTGTGCAATCATCACCGCTAACTATAAAACTGTCATCACCCCAAACAGCAACAACTCCCGTCCCAACTGTGTCCCCGAGTCATCCTTCAGCTCTGCAACCGCACTCATCCCGATGGCTTCCTTTTCAGCCACACAACAGACAGGTCTATGAGGGGAGCAGTAACACTAGGGAGGTACACACACCTTCGAATCTTCAACCATTTGTGGCCCAAAGAGTAGCATCCACCAAGGACACCACTCAGAAGGGTTGTGAAAGGGGGGCGAATGGCAACAGAAAACACAGGGACAAAGTGGGATAAATGAGTGACATTTTTTTGGGATTGCAATTAATGACATGAAACAAAACGTGTATGTGTGACTGGTGAGATTTCAACTGCTGACTTTGCGGTTCAAGCCAGGCTTGCGGTCCAGTGCATTATCCTGCAGCACTACACCAGCATGGCTGAATAAAATCCCACAGTGGTGCATCGCTGCTAACCGGAAGGTCGGCAGTTTCATCCCACCGGCAGCTCCACAGGAGAAAGATGTGGCTGTCTGTTTTCATAAAGGTTTACAGTCGGGTCACTATGAGTTGGCATCACTCAACAGAATGACACATTGCCTAGTCCCATGCCATCCTCACTATTGTGTTTCAGCCCACTGGTGCGATTCAGCTTCGAGCTGGTAGCTCTTCCCGGTTGTACTGTGAATGCTTTCCAACCTGAGGGGCTCATCTCTTAGCACTATGACAAACAAGGTTTTCACTGGCCAATCTTTTAGAAGTAGATGACCAGATCCTTCTTCCTAGTCTGTCTTAGTCTGGAAATTCTGTTGCAACCTGTCACCATGGGTGACCCTGCTGGTATCTGAAATACCAGTGACATAGCTTCCAACATCACAGCAACATACACGTCACCACAGTACGACATACTGACACACAAGTGGTAGATTACAGCCTAGAAACTCTTATGGGGTAGTTTTCTGTCACACGGGGTTGCTGTTGGTGGTGGTTATGTGCCGTGGAGTCGGTTCTGACTCATAGCGATCCTGTATGTACAGGGTTTCCGAGGCTGTAAATCTTTACAGGAACAGAAAGCCTCATCTTTCTCCTGTGGAACTGCTGGTAATTTCGAACTGTTGACCTTGAGATTAGCAGCCCAACTCATAACTGAGTTGCTAGGAATCAAAAATTCAACTCAGCTCAATAGCACTTAAGAACAGTACTATTTGTAAATGTTTATCCATCCCTCTAATGATGGGCACTTGGGTTGTTTCCAACTTTCACCTACTGTGAATAGGACTGCGGTGAGCATTGGTGTACAAGCCTCTATTGTGGTCCCTGGTTCTAAATCTCCTGGGGCTATACCTATATAGGAGCGGAATTACTGGTCATATCGTAATTCTCTGTTTAGCTCAGTGAGGAATTTCTGCTCTCACACTTCTAAGGGGACAGTCTACCTTACAAGCACTGGTCGGGGTCTGGGTAAATGTCTGGGAGTTGGGATTCTTGCTTCACTCAGGGTTGACTACTTGTGCTAACAAGTGCCCAGCACCAAGAGAGGGACAGAGGCACAGGAAGACAACAGGGGACTTGGTACCCCATCTGTGCCCCAAACAAGGCTTTGGGGAGGGAAGGGGCTCGAGCTAACCTTTCTACTTCGCAGGATTCCGTTGTGTTGATGAAGACCGAGTTGGGCAGCGGTACCTAGAGCGAGGCCAACGTGGTTGGTGTCAAGTCTGAGGGACTCTTATGGCCAACCCTCACCCTATGTCCACCCTCACTGGCTTCCAGCATCCCCTGGGACCCAGGGCTTGGCATGGTGCGCCGTTCCTTCCCCATTCAAAGTGGACGGCTGACGTCTGTGTCAGCCAGCCGGACTGCCTGCCCATTGCCCGGTGGGTGGGATATGAGCTCTCGCTCAGCCTTGCCTTCTCATAGTCCTCATCTGAGTCCTCCCCGCCTGTGTCCACCTGTGAGGGCTGCCTGGAGTTTTCAAAGGAGAAGCTCCTGAAACTCTGTCCATCGGGGGGTGATCGCCTACGAAGGGGCAGGGAAAAGAGAGAGAGACCCCAGTGTGGTCAGAAATGGGATGGCCACCTGCCCAACACCTTTCAGGGGAGGTGCCAAAGTGAACATTAGAAGAAACCATGGGGCTCCAGCCCATAGCTGTAAAAGGCCCACAACAATAGAGTTCCTTGTGGTGACCAGATCTGCCTGCTGCCCACCAAGGGTGCTGAGCTCTGGGGACACCACATGTGAACAAGTATGCTGGACGCTGTGAGGAAAGCCCTGAGGTTCGCAGTCCAGCTCTGTTCTGCCCAGCTACGGGACTCTGGCCCAGCCATGATACCCTCCTGATACCCCAAGGGACACATCACAGCGAGTGTCATGCACCCTTTCACATGTCCAAGGGTCATCCTCTACCAAACCTCCAGAGCTTCAGGAAGGTTCAGCAAGCTACAAGTGGTCTGAGGAGCCTAAGGTCATGCTGACAGGGACTGTGGTCAGGGAGTAAGGACCACAGTCCAGATGCCCAGCACTGGGACACAGGGAACTTCAGACTCTCAGCACATGAGCTGCTGTCTAGGAGCTGGGACTTCAAGGCCCTTGTGAAACAGAGCCAAGAACATGGCCAAGGAAGCTCTAGGTCATCTCCCGAAATGGATAGCTGGGCCCTCAAGGGTGACAGCAGGCCTTGGGATTCGAAGGTCCCCGTGGTCAGAGGCATTGGGGGCATCGAGTTAGCACAGCTACGGGAGGGTCACACCTGCCTTCCCAGGCAAGCCCCCATGGCACCCCCTACAGGTTCTGGACACTTTGGACCACGAGCCCTGGGGATGAGTGGACCCAAGGGGTGGGACACAGAGCTCTCGTGGATGCACATTCTGCTGCCTGGTCAGGGATCCAGCCCCCACGACGGCCTATCCAGTAAAACTGAAAGCGTTTTGGTCAGGCCTCAGGGTGAGTCATGTTCTGGTCCACGTGCCAGTGATTTCCCGGGAGGGATCAGAGGCAGCTGGGCCCGTCTCCCCACAGTCAGGAGGAGACACACCCCAAGCCCCAGGCAGGGCGGCAGAGGCTGACAGAGGCAAACCAGAGCTGGGTGACTCCCACCACCCCAAGTGGCTGCTCCCAGGGCAGGCAGGCAGCCTGCAGGGACCTCCCCTGACTCCATAGCATCCTCACACAGCCCGCCAGGGATCCCTGAGACCACAATGACCATTGTTTCCCAGGGCAACCACCAGCTCCAGGCCCATCCCCTGCCAGAGTGGCCCTGCCATGGTTCACAGGGCCAGGTTGGACCAGAGACCCTTTACACCCCCAGGTCTACATTAGGTCCTCCCTCTGCAACCCCTGAGTCTGGATCAGAGGCCCCTCACATTCCTGGCTCTGGACTGGGGTCCCCTATATCCCCAGGTCTGGATCAGAGATCCCTCACACCCCCAGGTCTGGATCAAGACTCCCCACACTCCCAACTCTACACTGGGACCCCTGACACCCTTGAATCTGCATCCCCAAGTCTCTGTCAGAGGCCCCCTCATTCCTGAGTCTGGATTAGGGGCCACCATGCCCTCAGTCCTGGATGAGGAACTCCACACACACACACACCCTGGGTCAGGATAGGAACCCACACATCCCCAGGTCTGAATCAGGGATCCCATGGCACCGAATGCATCAGGGGTCCTCTTGCCTCCGGGTTTGGATGAGGCCCCGCACAGCCCGGCTCTGGATCAGGCAGCCCCACATCCCCAGGTTGGGATCAGGGGCACAGACTTACTACAAGTGGGGAGGAGGCATAAACTTACTGGAAGTGGGGGCACAGACTTACTGGAGGTGAAGGAGGGGACATAGATTTACTGGAGGTGGGGAGGGGCACAGACTTACTGGAGGTGGGGCAGCAGTGGCTTCTCTGGTCTGGGCAGGATCTCAGGCCGAGCTGAGGGCTCGGTAACTGGCAGCTTCAGGTTTGGAGGTCTGGGGGCCACGGGAGGCACAAAGAGTCCAGGCCTGGCTCCCTCCCTTAGGGGGACCGCCTCAGCCATCTTCAGAAACTTGGGCTTGTTGGTGGGTTTGGGTGGGAGTTCAGGCGTGGGTGGCCCCCGAGAGGACAGGTGGAAGGATCTGAGCTTGTCACAGTTCCTGGAGTCAGTGGTGGCTTCAGGGGCAGAGGTGGCACTGGGTCCGTGGCTGGGGACCCGGGGCTCCAGATTAGGGCAGGTGCTCTCCCGGAAGCAAGGGGGCTTCCGGATGCTGGATGGGGCAGGCTGGCTGCCCAGTGGGGGGTCACTCATCCTCCGGGAGGCGGTGGGCAACCTGGGCTCCACCCGTCTCAGCAGCAGGTCCCTCTTGGCTTCCTCAGAGACCAGGCCCACATCTGGGAGGCTGCGTTTCGGAGGTGGAGGCGGCAGCAGGGGTCCTGGGCCCTTAGAGGTGAAGGAATGAGCACGGGGCACCTCAGAGAAGGCCGGCTTCCTGGACGTGGGCACGGGGGGCGGCGGGTATGCGGGCGGTTGGGCCAGGGCGTCTACAAATCAAGGAGACCCAGATCCGTGAGCAGAGATCACCTGCCGAGCAACCCTCGCAGGACCACCCAAGTGAGTGACTTTCCCTAGACCCCTCCTGCACCCACCCTCCACACAACAGCCAAACCCCCTCCACCAGGAGCAACAGAACTGCAGGGTGGAGAGGAGTGAAGAGCACAGGTTAGGAAGGTCTGAGGTTTGGGCTGCATGGGAGGAAGGCAAGGAGGGTATGTGTACGCCTGATAAGGTCCAGATGCTGTAAGACACCTGGGCCGCGAGGCAGGGAAACAAGCCCAGAGCTCAGGGGTGCCGTCCCAGCTGCTGACAGTCCACACTGGGGTGACACTATGGTCACCAGGGAGTACAGAAGAGGGGCGAGGAGCCAGCAGGGAGGCAGGGGGCATCCCATGAGCCTGAAGTTGGCCTGGAGCAGAAAGTGCCCAGACCAGGTGTTGCTCAGAGGAGTAGAGCACTGGATGGGGCAGGAGTGGGAGGGTGGGGTGTCACTGGGGACCCTAACATGAGTGGTTTGGGGGAGACAGGGGAGAGCCTGCCTGGAGTGGTGGGCTACTAGAGGGAAGGGAGAGCCTAGGCCAATCAGCTCAGGTAGCACTAGGCACACAGAAGGGCCCAGGTGGGCACAAACCAGAGGACTTGTGGGCACAGTCCAACTGCAGGGGCTCCCATGAGGAGTAGGTGGACAGGGCTGGGAGGTGGGGGCAAGGTAACTGGCTGAGGCCGACAGGGCCCCTGTGTGAGGAAGGGGGCGGCCTGAGGTCTGACTGGGGTCAGAGAACATAAATCCAATGTGGGACGGGAGGATTATGGGCGCAAAGGCCCCAGGAAAGAGTGGGAAGAGGGGTGGGGTGGGTGGAGAGTCGTGGAGAGGCGTTGGGAGAGGAGAGGGAGACAGGAACAGATAGAGCAGCTGAGAGACCATGAAGTCAGCACATAGAAGAGGGGAGCAGACTGGACAGAGGGCTGGGGGGAACCTGGAGAGGTGATGACCATGAAGAAGGGGGGTTGGAGAGATGAGGGGACTGGAGGGGACCATACGGGGTCTAGCCTGAAACCCAAGGATAGATGGATGGCAGGACTAAGGTACAGGAGAGTGGAGACCCCAACCCCAATTCCCAAACACCCTGTGGTATGGCTGCTGCATGGTCTTTCCTTATTGGGCTGTGAGCTCTGGGGGTGGGGACAAAAACCAGGACCTGAGGACAGGTGTGCCACCCCCCACCCCCCAATTAGGGCTCCACAGGGAGCTGGTGAGCAGGGTGGGAGACCTGATGTTCCTCAGCCCCCTGCTATGCCCTCCCCACCCCTCCCCTCTCAGCAGCCCAGCTGGGGCTAATGCAGGGAGATGGAGGCCCGGGAAACAGACGTGACAGTCAGCCCAGAACCCAGTCCAGGAAGGGCTCTCTGTCCACCCATCTGGCTGGCCCACCTACCCTCGGGCTTTCCGGGCTCAGGGGAGTCGGGCTCCAGGTACGAGTCATCCTCATCGTCATGTTCATAGTCTGTATGGGAGCCAAGGGTCAGACCCAACATCCCAGGCCCAGCCCAGTGAGGACAGTGTTGTGGGGAGGCAGGGCGATGCAACTGAGCCTCAGAACAGTGCTCCACCCAGGAGGCAGGGCCAAGAGACAGGGCAGCATGGGGGTCAGATGTGGGAGGATTTGAACCCTGTACCCAGGAGGCCCCTGTCCCTCTGCCAAAGGGACCAGCAGGGAAGATGGCCAACTATGAGTGCCCCCATCCACCATAGCTGCCTTTGAGGCCACATGTGGGGAGCAGTGGGGCGGGGGCGCTCACCTTCATTTTCCGTGGGGTACAAGGAGAGGCTGATGTCCACAGGTCGTTCCACCGCGCCATAGAATCTGTCTGTGTCCGAGCCGGAGTCACTGAGCACCAAGTGGATGGGCAGGGGACAGGCAGTGAGCACAGGTAGGGGTGGGGCAGTCCGTAAGCACGCCCAGACACACACAGACACTCAGACAGACACACAGACATGGACATTTGGACAAACACACTGATGTGAACAGACACACATACAGATGCTCAGACACACAGATGTGGACAGACAGACGCATGCATACAGACCTATATATACAGAGAGAGAAACAGCCCTGGTGTGGCTCTGTGGGCTAATGTGTCAGACTGCAAAGTTGTTTAAACCGTAAGATCAGTGGTTCAAGCTCACCAGCTGCTCCTTAGAAACCCTATACAGGGTTGCTATGGGTCGGAATCGACTCGATGCACTTCACAACAATACAGGTGCCTAGACAGACACACGCACACATGGAAATATATGCGGACACACACTTGTATGCACACACCTGTACATGCTCACGTGCACTCACAGGGTCCGGCAGCCACTTCCCGAAACACCCTGGGCCTGGGAGGTGGCCCCCAGATCCTGTGTGTGCACCCCAGGAGCCCTGCCCATGCCCACCTGGTATCCAGGGGCAGCTCCCTCTCCTGGAAGTGGCCAATCTCTCTGCGCAGCAGGGCCATCCAGCTCTGTGGAGCACCAGAGCCACAGTGGATGTGGCGTCCCGGGCAAAGCCCTTCCCTCCCAACCACCTACTCTGCTCCCTGCCTCGCCAGCCCAGGACCAGCCCTGAAGGCTTGTGCACCTTGCGTTCATCCTCAGAGGAGGCCGAGAAGAACCAGGTGCGGTGTTTCTTGCTGATGTGGATGATCTTAAAGGGGAAGACATTGTTGGACGTGGTCTCCTCGGCTGCCCGCATCACCCTATGGGGACAGCACCCTCAGTCACCACCTGGTCCATGCGGGCCCACTGCCTCCACTGCTGGGACAGCTTTCTGCAGCCCCAGCCCCTTGGACCACACCATGCCCAAATCACAGAGCAAATCGACTCCCGGCTGGGGTCTGCAGCCTTCTGGTGGAGGGGTGCAGGTGGGCAGGGGCTGTGGAGCCCTGGGGACTCAGAAGGGTTTGTGGAAGCAGCCGTATGCAGGGCCCTCCGCTGCCGCTGCGGCCCCAGCACAGAACATCTGTAGCAGATGCCATCCTCACACCTCCAGCTGTGGCTTGGCCCCGGCCTGGCTGTCAAGAGGCTGAGCTTGACTTCAGTTTCATGGTGACCTCCGCCCAGCTGCCAATGCCCTGCAGCGCCACTGAGTGGATTGCAGGGACGCCCCAATGACTCACATCTGTCTGCAGCTGCTCCCAGCCCGGATGTGGGATGTGGGGTTGTCAGAACTCAGAATGACTGCTATGGGGGGGGTGGACTGGAAGAGTCCCTAAGGCCCAACTGGATGGCACCTTGAGGCCTAGCGTCCAAGACAGAAGGCAGTGTGTTTGGGGAATGGTCAGGGCCCAGACCAGGGGGTCTCCGGGCTGCTCTCCCAAGGATGTGGCCTTGGAGTCTCATTAAGAGACCTCAGTCTCATCATTAACACAGAGTGACCCCAGGAATATTGGTGCCTCAGTTTCCCACAGACAGGAGGGTCTGTCTAACGCTGCAGGGTTCGAGTGCGAGGGTGGGTGTGGGGAGACACGGCACCTAGGACCACCACTTAAACTCTACTCTATGGATGTCCAAAGCCGTGGGGCACACCTGAGGTGGAGCTACTGGGCCCACATGCAGGGGCCCAACCTGTGTGAAGTGTCACAGGCCCCGTTAGCCTGAGAGCAAAACAGGGACAGGGTCTGGCTCCAGAGTGTCGGGCTCAGAGCCAGGCTGGGCTCCTGACTCCTTGCAAGGAGACTGTGGTGAGTACGGGGCAGGGAGGGGAGGTATGGGAAGCAGTGCCAATGGGCAGTGGGGGCCTGCCGTATTTGTGTCCATGTGTCCACGAGGTCAGCCTAGAGCTCAAGGACAAGGGGCCTCAGGGGCGGCGTCTGAGGGCACCATGGAAGCAGCAAGAGAAGCAGCAGGGATGGGGCACAACCTAAAGTCTCCAGGGTGGGGGTGGCAAACAGGGTGGGCACTCACCGGTTATAGCCATTCAGCGAGAAGGCACCCTGCGGGGAGGCGGAGGTACTGCTCTTGAAATAGTAGATGCACCGTTTGTGGATGATGACGAAACGCAGGGGCCCTGCAGGAAGGCGGGCAGGGCAGGGCTGAGCCGAAAGGGACAGCACCCACCCGGGGGACCCGCTGTAAACCCCCACCTCGGAGCTGGAGATGTAAGGGTGGGGAGCTGGCCCAGCATGATGTCACCCGCTCCCCAGGAGATCCCTGTGGACCCAGTGCTGACAACTTCATGTCTGTCCCCTGGGAAGGGTTTGGCTTGGGCTGGGTGGAGCCACCAAGGGCCCAAAGACAAGGGCTGGAGGCTGCAGGGTGGCTGGTCACAGAGTCGGTTTTGACTCATAGCAACCCTGCAGAGAGTTTCTGTGAAACAGCTGGTGGGTTTGAACTGCCGACCTTGCTGTTAACAGTCTAGTGCTTATCCTACAGCGCCACACTAGGGCTCCTTGCAGATAGGCAACTCTGGCAAAAAACCTAGCAGCCTATGTTCCACACCATCCATGCTGAGGCAATGCCCCCAGGTGAGTCCCAGGCTGGACAGATCAGTTTCCAACCTCTTTGAAGGCTCCTGGTCCCAAGGGGAGAGAGCTCTGCAGTGGAAGAGGTTCAGTGCTAGCACGCTAACCACAAGGTTGGGGTTCAAACCCACCAGCTGCTCCGTGAGAGGCAGCAAAGGCTATCTCCTCCCCTAAAGATCTGCAGTCCCAGAAACCCAAAGAAGCAGTTCTCCTCTGCCTATAGGATCTCTCTGAGTCAGAATCAACTCAGCGGCAGTAGGTTTGGGTCCAAAGGGGCACCTAGCCATCCAGTGCCCATGGGGGGGCCACATGGCCCAGCCTGGAGCAATTCCCGGCCAGGGAGGGAGAGGGCAGTGCTGGGTATAAGTGTGGGAATGGGGTGGGCCCTGGGCCTTCAGTTCTTTGGCAGTTGGACACCTCTGAAGCCTGGAGGCACCGTCCATCTGCCATCCTGGGGGCCTGTGCAGCTCTGGGAGGGGGCGGGGGTCCAGTGCCCAGCGGCGAACTCTTACTTGGAACATGGCTTCACTGAGACCAGGATGACACTCCCACTCATTGCAATGGAGGACGCAAGAACTAGTCCCGGGGATCAGACCTGCCAGGCTACTCTGGAGTCCTGAGCAGGTCAGCACTGTACAGCCAGTTTACTGAGACCCCCTAGGGCCCTCTCCATAGTCCTGGGGGATGGAGAGGCCGTTCTCAGGTTCCCCAGGAGGTGCCAGCCACCAGAGAGGCGGGGAGAACTCTGAGTAAGGAAGCTGAGGTTCAGAGAGGGCGATCGTTTGTCCAAGGACACCCAGCCTGGCTCTGCCCTGCTTCTACTTACATTTTAGCAGCTGCAGCTGGGTGCCCCCTTTCTTATGCAAGTAGCCAGCCTTGGCCACACCCCCAGGCATGGTCAGCAGGTTCTGGGCTCCAATGGCCTTCATGGGCACCGGCCAGTGCATCTCCTCAGCTGCCATGATTCTGTGTAGAAGGGGACATGACTCAGCCAGGGGTGGAAAGGAGACAGCTTGGCTGGGGTCACACAGGAAAGCACCCCCAAGACACTGTGGATGGCACAGAGGGCCAGGCAGCAATATGTGAGGGTCACCCATCACCTCCATCAGCCAATGGGGGCCCCCAAACTCAACCCCCAGGGGTGCTGGGAGCTAGATGTGTCCCTTCGTCACTCATTTAACACAACCTCCTGCTATGCCCGATATCACTCAGTGTCAGTTAGTCCAGCCCACCAAGGAGCTCTGGTAGCATAGTGGTTACAAGTCGGACTGCGAACCTCAAGGTCAGCAGTTTAAAACCACCAGCCGGAATCCGCAGGAGAAAGATGAGGCTTTCCACTCCCGTAAAGATTTACAGCCTCGGAAACCCTGTACGGGGTCACTATGAGTCAGAACCGACTTGACGGCACATAACAACAACATCCCCTTAACCACTCGGCCTGAGTGTCAGGGGAACTTGTAAGGGCTCTGCCTTGGATAGGAAGTCAGGGAGCGTTTCCTGGAGGAAACGGCACTCGGGCTGCCATCTAGTCAATTCTGACTCATGGTGACCCCGTGTATTACAGAGGAGAACTGAGCACCAAGGGCCTGTCTTGGTTTTCATCTTTCAGGCCTTGGCTTCAAACTGCCAACTTTTCAGGTTAAGAGCTGAGAGCAAACTCTGCATCACCCAGGGTCCTCAGGAAGGGGGCCAGGACAGGCTCCCACCAGCTCTGAGTCTCCACAGGCGTGAGTGAGAAGCATGAGCCACTCCACCAGCCTGCCTTTGGTCCATTTCCACCAGCCCTTTCTTGAGACCCAGAGACCAGGAAGCTAGGGAAGTGGGGAGTCAAGAGCCCTCAGTTTCTGGTTAGAATGGGCTAGGTTCCTATTCTGGGTTCTCTAGCATCTCTAGGCCTCAGTTGTCAGGGCTGTAAAATGGGAATGTCAGCCTCCAAGAAAGATGGGACAGAGGCAGCGAAACCTAGTAGGTATCACACCTCATCAGTGTGTGGCCAGAACTCCTGTCTCTCTCTCTCTCACACACACACACACTCTCACACACACACACACACACACACACACACACACACACTTACACCGGGGGGCTTCAAACAGTTCATGGAAAATGGAGTAAAAACACAATGGAATTTTTCCACAAACTTTTGAGACCTCTCATATGTGTAGTCATATACACTCTTACACTCAGACACACCATACACATGTATTATTCCCTCAACTTCACACACACACTCATATGTGTAGTCACACACACTTGTGTTTGTACACACACAGACACACTCACATGTACACACTCACTCAAACTCATCTATGCCCATCCATCGAGATACCAGGGCCTTCAAAAAGTGCATGGGGAAAAATGGAATTACATTCTAAATTATTTTATTAAATGATAGTTTAAAAGTTAATTCCTACATTCCAGGAACAGAGGACCCTAGGATCATCAAGGGAGAAGTGCATGAGCTGAATGTGGGACCTTATCCAGAGAAGCAGCAACACCAGAGATGGAGGCAGAGATGAGGACAGGGAGAGAGGGAGCAGCTGAGGACTCTAGATTCATGGAAAGAGAGGGCCTGAGAGCTGGCAGCCAGGAGGCAGGCTTGCAGAATGTGCCCTTTGGTTGTTTAAATGATTATATATTCCTGAGTGTTTTTGTGTACATTCTCCACACACACACACACACACACAAAGAGGGAATAGAAGCAAATACTGTTGAATGATGATGCACAGAGGGGACTAATCATTGCAATGAAGCAATGAGTATAAAACTGATGTTCTCCCATGTAAACTATCACTCAATTCACAATAAATTTTTTTTTAAAAAAAAAGAATGAATTCCATCATTGCTATGAAACAAAATACGACAGGTTTAGTACAAAACCAATGTTCTCCCATGTAAACTATCACTCAATTCACAGTAAAAGCTAAAAAACAAAGCAAAACAACTTGTGAGTGGCCATGTAAAGTGTGATTATTGATCTCTCTCTGTCTGGAGCAAGGAAGAGGAGAGAAAGTTAAAGACTCAATGAAACAAATTGTCCAGAGGATAAACAGACTGTGTGAACCCCAACCTTCCCTAACCTGAGACTAACTGACTGTGCCACACGACCACTGGTCAGGATCATGACAGACAAAATGAGAAAAAAACATAAAATGAAATTCAAATTCACAGGAAAGACCAACACACTAGTCTGGTAAAGACTGGTGAACCTTTGAGACTGTGACCCATAAACACCCCTCAAAACCCAGCCTTGAGGACCAACTGTCAGCCAAGCAATAGACGGGACTATAAAGTGGAACAGTAGGGTGGAACACACTGCTCAGTACAATCCATTTTTCTAAGCCCAAAGGGCAGCATCTGTCCCAACTTAAAGCTCAGAATCCTAGTGTGGCACTGTGGGCTAATACATCAGACTGCAAAGTCATCTGAACTGCAAGGTCGGTGGTTCAAGCGCACCAGCTGTTCCTTGGAAACCCTTACAGGGTTGCTATGGGTCGGGATCCACTTGACGGCACTTAATTTTAACAACGACAACAAAGCTCGGAAGTCAAGAAGGGGGCAGGGAAGGACAAATGAATATGGGAGACACAGGGAGGAAGGTGCAAGAATGCTATTCCTTTGCTGGGATTGGAAGCAATGTTACGAAACAAAATGTGTATGAATATTTGAATGGAAAGCTAGTAAAGTTCTATAAACTTTCACCCACCTATATAATAAATAATAAAAAGTTCAAAAAGGGGAGGAAAAAAAAAGTTAATTCCATTTTTCCATGCATTTTTGAAGGCTTCCCTTCCATGGCCACATGTCCTTACACACGCATGTATTAGGACACGCCTTCAGCCCACACCCCCTCCTAACACGGCCCCGCATGGGGGCCCAGGCTCTGCTTCACAGCTCTGTGGGCTGGAGCCTTAGACCAATTCACAAAGTAGCATGCCAAGGCTGGACGAGGCTCCAGACTTGTACCAAGGACCCTAAACCCTTAACCTCAGCAGGTCCCTGTGCTTCCTGGAGTCACCACGTCATCTTTGAGACACAAATTGGCATCATCTTCACATCACCCCTGAAGACATCAAGGCTCAGAGACGTTGGGTAACTCACCCAAAGTCACATAGCCAGCTGATGGTGGAGCACCACCCCCGCTGCCAGCACATCCTCATCCCCAGCCTGGCACACAACTAGGGGCTGCGATGAGGCCCCTAGGCAGCCCTCACCCCACCAGCCTCATACCAACTCTTCTCAGTTTCCCTTCCCCTCCTTCCTCTTCTCAGAATCCTTCTCGTAAGCGAATCAAGAGCAGAAATCAAAACTAAAAGCTTTCTATAAAGGCCCAGCGAGCAGCCCCTCCACCAGGGAACTCGATGTGAAGCCCCAGGAGTGGAACCCCCCACACACACACCTGCAAGTCCCCCAGACGGGACACCAGGTCCTCAGCCCTGCCAGACCCAAAGCATGGCACTCTGGGGTGGTCAGGGGGCCTTCACATGGTTCTCTACCCCCAGCACACACCATTCACACCCTACCCCTCAGTGCACACACAGGATCTGACAGCCAAGGCCACCCAGGCAGGGTCCAGAGGATACGGAGGGAGGGGCTCATCTCATACCCACCCTGCAGGCCACCTGACCTCCCTCCCGACTATGAGCTCTCAGGACAGGTTTTTTGTGGCCCCTCTGTGTCCCACCAGATCTGTGGGCTGGAAGTCAGATGGGGGTCTCTCTCTCTCATGGGTCAGGGTCCTTGGACCTGTCCCTGGGTTCCCCCCACTGACCTGATAGCATTGATCCAACACATTGCTGCCCTCTGGTCTGGGGACAGGCTAGGGTCAGGCGCCCTGGGGCCCGGAGTGGCCATGCGGCTCAGGGGCTGTAGGGAGTGGTGGTCAGCATGCCCCCACCCTGCCTGGCAGATGCCCTGTCTGCCGTGCTGCCTGGCCGCTGCATCTGGGGACTGTGGCCACCAGTCTTCCTCCCTCCCAGCACTTCCTGCCTGTTGGTCAGGCCCCTGGGGGAGGGGGAGGCACTTCCTGCCCTCCCACCCCTGCAGGGACCTGACAGCTGCCTGAGGCCCAAAGCTGTGCCCACCCCCAACTCGTCACCTCTCGATCCCCACTGTGGTCACAGACACGCTCTGGTTTTTAGGTCAGCTGTGTCCCAAGAGAGGAAGCTCATCACTGGCACCCACAGCACCTTTGTAAACCGCGAGCAGTCTCACGGCCCAGGGCCTGAACCTGCCTCCCGGTACCAGGGTACCCTCCTAGGCATCAGCCACCACAGACACCCTGTTCAGGTACTCACACCCCCAGGGTGCTCCTTTCCCCTTTGGATGCAGACCGGCTGCCCTGGGAGGCCCCCTAGCCTGCCCTCTGGCACACACTGGGCCCTGACATTTCTCAATCGCTGTCCTCCCTCCTCTTGCCAGCAACTTGCCAGTCAGAGTTCCTCCTGGGACAACTGCTCTCTGAATTTCTACAAAGCACTGCAGGGTGCAGCGTAGCCAAAAGCCTTCCTATTACCCAGTCCCTCCAGCTCTGAGGACCACCCTCACTCTCATGGACCCCTGATGAGCGCCCAGGACCCCAGTCCTGCCCCCTCCCCAATGACCTGATGGCACTGATCCAAAACATGGCTGTCCTGCTGACCAGATGGGTGGGGCTTCAAACCCAAACCATGACTCCATGCCCCCACTCTCCTCAGAGCATGACTCTCAAGGACTAACTCCCCCATGAAGGACATCATTAAAATGGAGGGACAGTTAGAGACAGGGAGCTCTCTGGGGCGGGGACTGCCAATGGCAGGGTTTGAAGTGACAGAGGTCACACACCATGGGAACCTGAGAGATTTCCTTCTGTCCATCTTGATTCTTATGAGAAGGGCATGTGTATGTGTGTGTGTGTGTGTGTCCATGTCTCTGACTTTAGCACCAGCAGATCCTGGACACCACCTCTGACAACTAGCTGTCCTTCCCCCAATTGGCCCGTGTGGGGTTGTGGAGGCACCAGAGAAAGGGTCGAGGCTGTATCCCAGTCCTGATGCCAAGGCCCCAAACTACAGGGGATGTATTGGGAGACTGCAGAATCCCGACTCTCTCCCAGAACAGGACCTTGGGGTTTGTGTCTCAGGCTTCCTTAGGGTGGACGCAGCTGCCCCATTTTCCCTAAGCCTGTGCCAGTCTCTGTGCCCAAAGGCAATAAGGACAGAGCACATCCTTCACCGAAAATTGGCTACGACAGACAGACAGATGACTGGCAGGGGGCCTCTTCTTCCTCTCTGAAGCCTGGCTCCCAGCTCCATCCTTCATTAGCTGTGTCACATCAAGCTACTGACATGACCTTGCCGAGCCTCAGTTTTGCCATCTGTGAAGTGGGCACTGAGAAAAAAGTACAGGTGAAGAATCCTTGGCACAGGGTTAGGGAAGACTCTGGAAGGAGGGAGAGGTCGTTGGAATGGGGTGAGGTTAGAGAGTTATAACCAGGGCAGAGCTGGAGAGGAAGAGAACCCAGGGGCAGGGAGGAAGCCATGAGCAATGACACGCAAGTTGGCAGCGCTCCCCAGGACAGGCCAACAGGATGGGTGGGTAAGGAGACCTGAGGTCTGGCCGGGAGTGGGCAGAGAGGGCTATGCTCCACCTGGACCCTGTCCCAAGTAGATTTTGCCCAGAACTTCGATGCTGTGTGGGGGTCGGGGTCCAGAGGAAAGAGGCTGGCTAGGGGACACCCGTGGAGGTCAGGATTCCTGGGCTGCTATGTGGCCTCAGCAGACACGGCCATTCTGGGTCCCAGTTTCCCCTTGTGCTCACCAATCTTTGGAAGCAGCATTGTATCACATTACAATGTATTGTCATTAAAGCTCCTGAGATCAGGGAACTTTCAAACCAAACCCACTGCTGTCCAGTCAATTCTGACCCTCAGCGACCCTGAAGGACAGAGTAGAACTGCCCCATAGGATTTCCAAAGCTAGAAATACTTATGGGAACAGAGAGCCTCATCTTTCTCCCACAGAGTAGCAAGGAGGTTCTAATCGCTGACCTTATGGTTGCAGCCCAACACTTAACTTATTGTTTCAAATATCAGCAGGGTTACCCGTGGTGGACAGCTTTCAGCAGAGCTGAACTGACTAGGAAGAAAGAATCCGCAGTCCACTTCTGAGGGATTAACTTCCCCCTCAAAGTAGAGTTGACCTTAATGATGTGGAGAGAACAAAGCTCTCAGGTCCTTCACTTGCTAATGGGGCACAGGTCAAAATGAGAAGAAACAGTTAAAACATCCATTAAACTAACACAGACTGAAGTAGAAAACCTGAACAGGCCCATAACAATAGAAGAAATTGATCAGGTCATTAAAAACTCCCAACTAAAAAAAGTCCAGGCCCAGATGGCTTTACTGGTGAATCTACCAAACATTCAGAGAAAAGCTGACACCAATTCTACTCAAAGTATTCCAGAAAAGGATGGCAAACTCACAAAATCATGTTATGAAGCAAGCATAGCTCTGATACCAAAACCAGGTAAACACATCACTAAAAAAGAAAACTATTTTAAAAAAGAAAGAAAAACCGAGGGAATGGAAGCAAATACTGTTGAATGATGATGCACAGAGGCGATTGTAATCAATTGCAGTAGTGTAAAGTTGTTGTTCTCCCATGTAAACTATCACTCAGTTCACAATAAAAAAAAGAAAAGAAAACCAATATCCCTCATGAAGAGATGCATACATTCTCAACAAAATCCTAGCCAATCGAGTCCAACAATATATCAATAATATAATACATCATGACCAAGTGGGATTCATACTAGATTTGCAGAGATGGTTCCACATTAGAAAAATGATCAACATAATCCACCACATAAATAAAACAAAGGGAAAAAATTACATGATCATATCAGTTGATGCAGAAAAGGTATTTGACAAAATCCAACACTCATTCCTGATTAAAACACTCAACAACATAGTAATAAAAGGGAAACTCTTCAACATAATTAAGGATATATATATATATATATATAAAATCAACAGTCAACATCACTCTCCATGGTAAGGAACTGAAGCCATTCCCCTTTCGAACAGGAACCAGACAAGGATGCCCTTTATCACCGCTCCTATTCAATATTGTGCTAGAAGTCTTAGCCAGACTTATAAGGCAAGCAAGGGAAATTAAAGGCATCCAAATTGGCAAAGAAGAAGTAAAACTCTATTTGCAGATGATATGATCCTGTACTTAGAAAATCTCAAAGACTCAGCAGGAAAATTATGGAAACTCATTAATAGGTTAGGCAAAGCGACAGGGTATAAAATCAACCTACAAACATCAGTTGTATTCCTTTACACTAATAAAGAGACTTCTGAAAAGAAAAATCTGGAAAATAATAGCATTTCAATGGTTGGTTATGTGCCATGGAGTCGGTTCAGATTCATAGTAACCTTGTATAAGGTTTCCTAGGCTATAAATCTTTATGGGAGCAAAAGGCCTCACTTTTTTCCTGCAAACTAGCTGGTAGTTTCAAACTGCTGACCTTGAGGTTAGCAGACCAATTCGTAACCACTATGCTACCAGAGCTCCTTACCATTTACAATAGCCACCCCAAAGATTAAATTTTTGTTGTTGTTAATTGCCATAGAGTCGGTTCTGACCCATAGCAACCCTGTATAGGGTTTCTGAGGAGCAGCTGGTAAGCTTGAACCACCGACCCTGCAGTTCAAACGGCTTTTCAGTCTGGCTCAATAACCCACAGCACCACACCAGGACTCCTAAAGATTAAATACTTAGGAATAAATGTAACCAGAGAAACAAAAGACGTATACAAAGAAAACTACTACAAGAAACCAAAAGAGACCTGCAGAAATATACCATTTGGATATATATGTTAAGTGGATAGGAAGAACTTAACATTGTAAAAATGTCAACACTACCCACAGCATTCTGTAGATATAATACAATCCCAATCAAGATTCCAACATCATTCTTTGAAGAGATGGAAAAGTTAACCACTAAATTTCTATGGAAAGGAACTCAAGCCGACTTTGCAGTCCAACACATTAACTCATAGCACCACACAAGAAAAACGAATTTCTGTTCTTTAAAGCCAAAAAAAAATTATATGGAAAGGAAAAAGACTCAGGATAAGCAAATCATTATTTATAAATAAGAACAAAGTAGGAGGCCTCTCATTTCCTGATCTCAAAACCTATTACATAGTCACAGTCAGAACAGCCTGGTACTGGTACAACGAAAGACACATAGATGAATGGAATGGAATCGAGAGCCCAGAAGTAAATCCATCCACTCACAGTCAGCTGATCATCAGCAAAAGACAAAAATGCATTAAATGAGGAAGAGATAGTCTCTTTAACAAATGGTGCTGGCAAAATTGGAAATCTATTTGCAGAAAAATGAAACAAGGCCATAGCTCACATCATATACAAAAATAAACTACGTGGATTAAAGACCTAAATGTAGATACTAGAATTATAAAGATCATCAATGTGAACATAGGGATGAATTAAGGAACTGTGATACATAGCATAAAGACACTATCAAATATAACTGAAAACACACAAACAGAAAACAGAATAAATGACTGGGACCTAAAAATTAGAAACTCAGTGCATCAAAGGATTTCACCAAAAGAATAAAAAGAGAACCCACAGACTAAGAAAAAATGTTTGCCCATGACATATCAAAGGACTACTCTCCAAACTGTATACAACACTTCAACAAGAAGAGAAACGATCCCATTTAAAAATGGGCAGAAGACATGAACAGACACTTCACCCAAGAAGACATTCGGGTGGCCAACAAACATATGAAGTTGAAATAATTCCAGTGAAAAGAGGTAAATACTGTCAACTGTTGGTA